CAGAATTATGAGATATAAACTCTGAATTATGAGATATAAATTCTGAATTATGAGATATACATTCTGAATTATGAGATATAAACTCTGAATTATGAGATATAAATTCTGAATTATGATATATAAACGTAATTATGAGATATAAAATCTCAGAATTATGAGATATAAACTGAATTATGATATAAAAACTGAATTATGAGATATAAACTATGAATTATGAGATATAGAATCTGAATTAGGAGATATAGAATCTAAATTAGGAGATATAGAATCTAAATTAGGAGATATAGAATCTGAATTATGAGATATAAACTGAATTATGAGATATAAACAGAATTATGAGATATAAACTCTGAATTATGAGATATAAAAACTGAATTATGAGATATAAAAACTGAATTATGAGATATAAACTATGAATTATGAGATATAGAATCTGAATTAGGAGATATAGAATCTAAATTAGGAGATATAGAATCTAAATTAGGAGATATAGAATCTAAATTAGGAGATATAGAATCTAAATTAGGAGATATAGAATCTAAATTAGGAGATATAGAATCTAAATTAGGAGATATAGAATCTAAATTAGGAGATATAGAATCTAAATTAGGAGATATAGAATCTGAATTATGAGATATAAACTGAATTATGAGATATAAACAGAATTATGAGATATAAACTCTGAACTATGAGATATAAAAACTGAATTATGAGATATAAACTATGAATTATGATATATAAACTGAATTATGAGATTTAAAAAAATCTGAATTATGAGATATATAATCTGAATTATGAGATAGAAACTCTGAATTGAGAGATATAAAATGTAAGAGATGTACTGCGTTAGGCTAACTGAGACTTGCATATCATTGCTCTCTTGTTGATTTTGATTGCTTCCATTGTCTTCATTTGTAAGTCGCTTTGGATAAAAGCATCTGCTAAATGACTTAATGTAAAATACTCCAGTACTGTTTGAACTGAATACATGTGTTCTTCATATTCAAGAGGGGGGAATTAATTTTCTTTATAGGGGAAATTATTTTTAACAATATATAAACAAGCCCTCAGGGTCACTCCCACTCAGAGTGTAGGCGTCAGTGTGACACACTGAAAAACTACATTACCCATGATTCTACAGAGAAATCTCCACCAATCAGTGAACTCAAATGAGCAAACCACACCAAAAGAGCTTCTCCCACTCCCATGAAGCACTGTAAATGATGTCTCCCTACGCTCTCAAACCATCTAAATATTTGAATATGCATATTTTGCAATAGACATAAAATATATTGTTTTAATATGTATATATAATTAACAACAATATTTCTCAATCGTTTTTATTTGATTATGCCTTGTTGCAATGCTTGTGGGGTTGAAGTTCTTTCCCTCGATAAAGTAAAGTACAAAATAATCTTGTACCTTTTGTTTTTTCGTCCAATTTTCAAATAGTTTTTTGCTTCAAATTAAAGTTTGAAAAATTGTGATTCGCCTTGTAGCTGGCTGGTTTGGTTTCAAGGCTTATAACTCTGTAAAATAGGCTTTTAAAAAATCCCTATAGGAAAAACGAATGGGAAGAATACTTAGGGAACCAAGGCCTCTCAAAATCTTCATTTGTAAGTCGCTTTGGATAAAAGCATCTGCTAAATGACTTAATGTAAAATACTCCAGTACTGTTTGAACTGAATACATGTGTTCTTCATATTCAAGAGGGGGGAATTAATTTTCTTTATAGGGGAAATTATTTTTAACAATATATAAACAAGCCCTCAGGGTCACTCCCACTCAGAGTGTAGGCGTCAGTGTGACACACTGAAAAACTACATTACCCATGATTCTACAGAGAAATCTCCACCAATCAGTGAACTCAAATGAGCAAACCACACCAAAAGAGCTTCTCCCACTCCCATGAAGCACTGTAAATGATGTCTCCCTACGCTCTCAAACCATCTAAATATTTGAATATGCATATTTTGCAATAGACATAAAATATATTGTTTTAATATGTATATATAATTAACAACAATATTTCTCAATCGTTTTTATTTGATTATGCCTTGTTGCAATGCTTGTGGGGTTGAAGTTCTTTCCCTCGATAAAGTAAAGTACAAAATAATCTTGTACCTTTTGTTTTTTCGTCCAATTTTCAAATAGTTTTTTGCTTCAAATTAAAGTTTGAAAAATTGTGATTCGCCTTGTAGCTGGCTGGTTTGGTTTCAAGGCTTATAACTCTGTAAAATAGGCTTTTAAAAAATCCCTATAGGAAAAACGAATGGGAAGAATACTTAGGGAACCAAGGCCTCTCAAAACGTAAGTACTGTTGCATTACGCCAAAACTCAAACCACTCCTAAAGCAAACATGCACATTTTAGATTATGTATTTATATTTATATTTTCTTTTGTAGGCCTGTTGTATAATGTAAGTAGCAGCACTGAAAAACATTAAAAAGTTTTTAAAAAACAATTACACATCCAAAGGGGGAAAATGATGAATAATAAGGCTTTTGCTTGCACAATATAAATGCATACAGGTCTGTGTTGGTTTTACTTCATATTACTTATTATAAATATTATAGAATTTTATTTGAAATAAAAATAATACACATTATTATCATATTACTACCTGTAATTAATCATCTTTCTGCTATCCAACTATTTCATTATTTAGTTTAAAATATTATAACCTAATAAAAATACAAAAACAATAAAATGTATGACTGTAAAACCCACACGAAAAAAGATAAATTAAAAGTAGCCTAATTGTGTGAGGATAAAACACTGATATGTCTAGTCAAATCTCCAGTTTAGAACAGTCTTTGGCCTAAAAGCAATACATAAAATAAGAATGAATTTAAACATTGTTGACAGTTACTCAATAAACAATTATACTTATATGAATATCAAATCAGTTGCTGCTGAACACTTTCAGGTAATGACTTTCTGTTTCACAGGCATGTCTCCTAGAGCCTTGCAGAGTCAAAGGTTTGACACTACACTCATACTTTAAGTACTTTTTACACCCTCTGAATAAGAACAACCTGACTACATATTAACTCACAGCACATGGCTCTCTGGTCATGTACACACATAATGCCGCCAGCTGTCACTGCAAATGTCCCCTGAAGTGCCTTTAGAGGTGATAAATGGTTGATGGTACTTAATAATAGAGAGACATAATTCATTCAGCATCTGTGGTAAACACAGGCTGATTTGGAAGCCATCAGCAAATCGCATTCATAAATTTAGACTCGTAATTTCAGACGAGCTTCTCAGTAACGTGGATATTTGTGGCTCAGATTACCTTGTTTGCCACAGTGTACTGGTAGGAAAATCTCTGCTTCCCTCCCAGGTCCTCGTAAACTGTAGGGACGATCTTGAGAATGTAATCGTGAGATGCTAAAGCTGAAGAAAAAGAAACGCATGGCTTCATGTCTCTAGAAATGATATACAGATTCAGAGGAACAGACAGGATGGTAGCTTATTTCAATTGAGTGACGTTGTTCTTTCTCCTGTTACTGTGATCTATTTATGTGCAATACAATCTGTGATGCGTGTTCGGTTGGATGCTCATAAGCATTGCACTTCGATGTCTCTCAGTTACACGAGTCGACAAATGGACAAGCGCAAGCAGTGTGTGCAGCAGTAAAGCAGTCTTGCTCATACTTAAAGGTTTAAACAAACTCCTACAGTAACTCAAAGTATTACAAACTCCTACAGTTACTCAAAGTATTACATTTTGTTACGTGTTACTTCTCTAGTATTAAGGACGTATGATTTTTAGGTCTACCTGGGGCACAGGATTTGATACGTGTTTTGGTACTACAATTAAGGTCTTTTCACTCCAAGGATGGACTTTAACTATAAAGTTATAATCATAGTTCTAATTCTATGAGAATAGTAAAGTCCACACAACAACAACAACACAGAGGAACAATACAGTTGGAATGACTTTCAGAACTATTTTTTTCCAGCTGATGAATAATAAAAACATTACTAGCCAATTAGAATCCACTTGACTTTTAAGAGGCTGAGCATTCAGAGAGTCTCTCTAACCTTGCCTTGCCAGATAGAAGATTTATTGCCATTTATACAAAGTCATGAGGGTCTGCAGGGGTCCTCTATGTGATATAATTTCCTTTATGTTTTTTCTGCATATTGATTACACCTCATGACTTTCTTGGTTGCGCCACATGACTTTTATTTGGCAGACAAAAATATTTAAAATATCACCAAGCAGCGAAGCAGTTCTGTTACAGTATTTTTCATAAACAATAATAATAAACGAGTATGGTAACACTTTACAATAAGGTTTTATTTGTTAACATTAGTAGTTAACAAACTAACAATGCAAAAAACATTTAATATTATTAGGAAATATCTGTATCTGTTAATATTATTTAACGGACCTGGTCTAACATGAACTAACAATGAACAGTTGTACTTTTAGCATTATATATTGCATATTTAATGTTACCAATTATTAATAAGTACTTTAATGAATGCATTGTGCATTGTTAGTTATTCTTAGTAAATGCATTAACTAACATAATGAAATAATGGGACCTTGTTATAAAGTTTTACCATGATAATGAGGCTTCCTCATTAGGATACCAGGGCAGTTGCATCACCCTTACATTGTTGACAAAAAATTTAATCCACTCTTCATTGAAGAGGTATATTCAAATCACTGCACATATGAATTGCATTTTAAAGTATTTCTGAACACATTTTTACAGAACTATATATACACACACACAAAAATGCCTTTGCTTTGCTTACGTACGCTATAGGTCTATAGAGTAAGCGTCTAGAAAGCTCACAAAAACACATACCATTGGACTGAAGTCTGTTGGCTCCACCTAATGCATTAAAAGCCCCCTGGACATGCTGCACCTGCAATTGAGTGACATGACACTGTGACACATGTTTGTTTTACATTGTCTATAATTCTTATTGACTGCATGTGGACGACCCAACCTGAAGCTTCTCCCCAAAGGCGAGTTTGTGGATGATGTGGGTCATATCAGGGCTCTGCGGCTGAGCAGTCGCACTGTGTGTTGACACATGAAAGTTTCCTGGAACCTACAGAAAACAGACCAAGTCAACACCATTATCATACAGGCAAACACATCAGATGGTACAATTTCCATTCACTTGAGAGAAGGCCTTTCATTTGAAGAGACAATAATGGTTAAGCCCTTCAGGTAGCATGTGAATCTACAAGGACACTAATGACACTCCTTATAGCTTCTAGCCTTATGATGAGAAGTTCCACAAGAAACATTCAACACCAAACAAGTAGAAAAGAATGCATTTGACATCAAGCACGTCTTACTTTATTAATACTGAACTCCCCTTCAAAGCGGCACCCGTGACCGTTGTTTAGAGGCACTTTCATTGAATTGTCTATGTGGCCCACTTCATGCCGCCCCATCTCATCCTGGATGTCCAAACCCACCACTATGTACATACAAATATATAGACACAACAGAAAATAGAAAAATACAGACACAGAGCTTGAAACACTTTCATTTACATTGTACAAAAGGACACTTTTACAATTACAATTTTAAAAAAAACCTTTCTCAACTGTTCTTGGTGTTTTTGGAGCTTGATAGAGTAACTGGCCAAGTAATTTTTTGGTGAACTTTAACAAACAAATATCTTCATACATATGCATCAAGTTCATGAGTTCAGTAGAATCATTATACACAACTGTTTATTTGACCTTTCACAGCTAAGAAATAAAAAACCTCAGTAGTGTGTCGTAGCAGATCTTCTGACAGTGGTGTATGCTAACAGCATGTTGTCACGCCCAATGCTATTTTAAGACTGCCTTCCTAAATGGACGAGAACGCAACACTGACTCTTTACCCCTGTGATGACTATACTATTCATGATCTCAAAAGCACAAAAAATAAAGGCCAGCCAGAAAATGAAAGGAAGAATGATTCTATTATACGCTTTCCAGTGTGTTTGACTATTTCCACTGAGCTAAACTACTGACGTTGCACTGGTCGCTCATTACTGATCGGACAATTCAAGCCTTAAACCACAACATCTTTTTTGCCAGTTTTTAGATTCCAGTAAACTTTGAACACAAACTCTCCACTCATTAAAGAGCAAATGTGTGAACGAAAACATTTAATTGCCTTTTTAAGATGCGTGCCCAGAATACTAAAGGTCTTGCAACATTTTCTTAGCGCATAAAGGAAAAAGCATCCACATTTTCCACATAAGCACACAAGTGTCGAAAAGTCACGTTGCTACTTCAAGGGAACAATGTGTATGCCTCAAAAAATTAAAACTAATTTAGCATGGTAAGAGTAACAACATGGAAAGACCACATGTACTTTTGTAAAAAAAAAAATTATAAAAACAAAAATCCTTTTCCGAGGATAACATGATATGGCATGTCAAATGCCATGTATCAATTATCAGTTATTATGGACCAAATTTAAGTCTTATGATCCATTCATAACATGTGCTATTATTGCTTTTATCATTCTAGACATTTCATCTGGTATACAATAAAATAAGCACAAAAAAAAAAAAAGCCCAATTGACTTGCATTGAAGTAACGACTCGAGTCATATATTGGGAGGCCAGAATTTCAGAGAGGCTTACATTTGACTTCAGAAGGCCAGCATTAACCACCTAGCAACCAACCACAACACCTTAGAAACCACTCAAGAATACATTACGTGCATATCAATCCCCTAACAACCACCCTAAACACCTTAGCATCATGGAGGCAACATGGGAAACAGGCACTCGCGTTCTTCAGAAAAGGTCAAACGTGACGTCTACTTGTACTTCTAATAGTTGTTTGAAAACAGTACATTAAATGAGGTCATTATTGAGATCACAGTAAGGCTTGTCTCTATGACTCATAACAAAATCAGACAAACTTGGGTTTCAGTCAGAAGGGCCTCGTTTAAAAGAAAATGCGTCTTCCATAATAGGCAGGACCTCTATTTCTCACCCGTGAGAACTGCCCAAGACGTTGCTCTGAACATAGTTTGGGCTCTGTGTAATGTGTATGAAACAGCACGTCTTTGCAAACATTTGAGGATCTGCCCGAAAATGACATCAGAGGTGACCACAATTCCTCTGAGGGTGGCGACCTTTATAAACACAATCTTTAAGTCACTTTGCAAACAAATTTCAACAGCAAGGGACATTGGTTATGCTTGGTAAAACTCATCAGTGGACCCGTATTTCTATGATCCCAATCTCAATATTTTTAGGATTTTTTCCCCAATTTATTGAGACAAAAGAGTCACATTCAAAATATTTAATAGCTATTTACCTACCAAAAATACAGTAAAAATCTGCATATAATCAATAAACACTTTTCACTAAATAAACACAAGGAAGAATATATAACCATTTACAGTTAAACGTTTCCTAATTTTATCTCACTAGCAAAGTTATTTGACACATTGCCCAGCCTTAATCTAAATAACTAGTGATCAAATATTGCCACAATATTCCAATTGTGACTTAATAGTTGATCACTAGTTAAATAGGGCATGTGACTGAATCATTTACGCAAACATGACATATCAAGTATTATTTGGCAAACTGGTATGCAGAGAATTACCAAATATGAAACAGTATTTCCCCATATTCTTGCTCTCGTATGACTATACGTTTCCCGTTTGATGGACAGATAGGTCTATCCTAATCCTTCTGTGACAAAGCCCACACAATACGTCTCAAACTGAGACTTTCAGTGATGGTAAAGTTTTGGATCCTTATCACAATGTACGTCAGGAGCTCTGCTAAATGAATTAAGATCCCACACTAACAGTAATGTCACTGCTAACACACATAACACGTCAACAAAGATGATAGATGATACACATGTGGTAAGAGTGTTTGTGTATTTTATGTATATACTCACAATCACAGTGTAAGTTTGGCAAACTGATGTTTAAACTCACATCTATCTTCCCCCCACTGTCCTTATCGGGGTCATCCACATATAGTTCATTTACTCTGTAAACACACACACACACACACACACATATGAAAACACAAACATTAAATATAGTACTGACAAGCATTAGCCATCTGTAAAGGTCAACTGCTAATAATTATGCAAGCCTGACAGTAAAATAACAAAATTGCAGCGAGTGCAATTTTCGTTTCCTCACTTCCCCCGGTGAACACTTGAAAGCAGTTGACAAACAGGCACCAATGTCTACGTCCTGTGTGAAACTGATCTGTCACTAAAGTTACAACAGTGTGATTGCATTCGGGTCATAGAGTCGTGCATCTTGAGTGTTGATAAAAACACCTCAAATAACCATTTTCAACAAAACCGAAACATTTTTACTAACTCTAAAAATGTCATGTGGTCTAACCATCGCACTAAAATCAATGTATTGTACACTAATATTATTTTGGATTCAAAAATATTCTGACCTGTTCTTGAGGTTGATTTTTTTTAGGTTCAGATTTTAAACTAGACTTTTTTTCCCCCTTCGTTATGATCTTTGGACTGTTGGATCACCTAGACATTTTTGATTATAAACCCCACCAAATAAATAAATAAATAAAATACAATTAATTTTAATTCAGAAATTAAAAAAACATTCATCATAACATGCTTGTATGTAAGTCTGTGTCTGTGTAAATTGTATTTATATATCTTCTGGACCCCCCCCAAAAAAAAAATCATGTCCTTGCCATTTTTGACTGATGTCTTTATGAGAACAACATTCATACATACATTTCTGTAGCGATGAATCCCGTCAGTTCTGAGAGAAAGAGGAACAACATGAAGACACAGCAGCATACTGAAACTGAGGGGATAAGAAAAGGTCAAGAAAACAATAGTGAACTGTTTGCATAACAATATGTTTGTGAAGATATTTTCAAAGTAACATTTTAAGTCAGTGCTTGCTGAAAGTAACTCATTTTCAGAAATGTTCTTTGTTGTTAGCAGTGATGTCATTTCTCAAAATTATGTCTGACCATGCAAAATTATTACAACAGGTCAAGTGTATATAAGAGTCAAAGGGGCATTACATAGGGGTGTTCAACAGGCGAATAAACGTGCATGGCTTTATTGCTCTGGTTAGTGTAATCGTTACCAAGATCAACATGTGACCAAATGAGTCAAACTAGAAAGCTGGCTGCAGAAGCTAGTGCATATTTACATGGAGACCGTCTCCAGTGATCGGTGGTCATGTGACTTTGTGGCTGACACGTCATACTCTGGTTTGTTCCAGTTTACTCAAGCTAATGTTTAGCTAAAACACAAACAATAAGGCGTGTCGCTATGACACATAGCTCACAGATTCAGCTTCAATGTCGGTTATATCACTTGCCCCACTTTAATGGAGATAATACTGGGAAAGAATGAACACTTTGATGATATAATTATTACTTGAGTTGATTCAATCAGACAGATGACGAGATCTTCTTTAAAAACAGGATGGATTAAATCATACAAATGATGCTATCTTCACTGATTTAGCTTATTGTCTTTTTCCCTTCCCTCTTTTATATCTATCTTTTTGTCAACTCTACAGAAAGGCAAAAAAGTTGATTAAATGAAATGGATGCGGTTATCTGTGTAGATCATTGATCTTTGTTTTCCCTGTTTCATTAACAGTACAGAAAAGCCTTAAAATCACACTCAATGAAACCAGACAGATGCAGTTTATCATAGTATTTGTATTGATTTTTTTCTGTCCTGTTTCCATATTGTTAACTATAAGGAAAAGCTTTAAAAGTCCATAAAATCAAACGGATCCTGTAATCTTAGTAGACGTTCATTTTGAAAAGATCTTAAAGGGATAGTTCACCTAAAAATGAAAATTCTGCCATCATTTACTCACCCTCATGTTGTTCCAAACCTGTATGAGCTTCGAAAAGTTGATTAAATGAAATGGATGCGGTTATCGGTGTAGATCATTGATTTTTGTTTTCCCTGTTTCATTAACAGTACAGAAAAGCCTTAAAATCACACTCAATGAAACCAGACAGATGCAGTTTATCATAGTATTTGTATTGATTTTTTTCTGTCCTGTTTCCATATTGTTAACTATAAGGAAAAGCTTTAAAAGTCCATAAAATCAAACGGATCCTGTAATCTTAGTAGACGTTCATTTTGAAAAGATCTTAAAGGGATAGTTCACCTAAAAATGAAAATTCTGCCATCATTTACTCACCCTCATGTTGTTCCAAACCTGTATGAGCTTCTTTCTTCTTCTGAACACAAAAAAAGGATATTTAGAAGAACGTGGGTAACCAATCAGTTTTGGGACCTCAATGAATACACAGTAGTCAAAATTTGAAGTGGATCAAAACCTTTCATCAAAGTTGTCCTAAAACCAAAACAATACCCGTTCTTGTCTTAGGACAACTTTTTAGACCCAATGTTGGCTACTGTATATGTACATATACATATATATATATATATTTTTTTTTTTTTCTCTCTCCATACTATGGAGGTCAATGGCAACAGTCAACTGTTAGGTTACCAACATTCTTCAAAATATCTTCTTTTGTGCTCAAGAGAAGAAAGAAACTCATACAGGTTTGGAACAACTTGAGGGTGAGTAATTGATGACTGAATTTTCATTTTTGGGGTGAAATATCCCTTTAACACAACTACACTAGATATTTACATTTGGGTACTTGAGAACTTTATCACAGAACTTTATCACGGTTAAGGAGCAAAATATTTAGGTTGAGTTTAGGGTTGGTCTACACAGGTTTCAGCAAACATTACTAAATCTTAAGTAATTCACTTGAGGCCAAAACAACAATGGACAGAGCCACAGGAATGAGTGTAGAATGACAGTCCTACGTATCATATTATCATGAGTCAAACGGCAACACCTAGTGTTACAAACATCCTTCCATCCAAATCATGAGGATACGATGAGCCATACTCAGTTAGGAACAGTTAGGAAACTAAAACTGACTCAGCAAATTGGTTTGGAAAAAAATACAACTGTGGATCAAAGGAGGAATGTTGATGTAAGCACACAAATGAAGCGGCAGTGTAGCAACAGGCAGTAAAAGCCAGTGCCAGATGAAGCAAGCTATTGGTTTACTGGAGTGGATGAGGGTCTATGATGGCAAATTAACATTATAAACATTGGCACTCACTAAAAGCTCCAGTATACGTGGGCTGGGTAAGATCTTTGGGCACTTTCCTGTAGATATCGAACCTGGAAGGAAAAGAGAGCGAAGAATAAGAGAGAAAAAAGAAAGGTAAACATTGCAGACTCCTGGGAAGAGTTCATGTGAAAGCACATTGTGTTCCCAGTGTAGTTTAAGGCATTACAGAGGACTTTAGGAATGTCCATGAAACACCGGCCCAGACGCAACAGTCCAAGCAACCCCCACTTCTTCAGTTACACCTCTCCCTCTGCATTCCTGCTTTTCAATCACAACCTTCTTCAACAACATATTTCTTCGCACAACATTGTGGCTGAGGTCAGAGCAAAGGCTGTCAGCACTGAATAAACACATCGATCACTGTGACCAGAGTGAATGTCAGGGAAGGCAAACAATACACATTTCAAAACTACATGCCTAAAAACTATTGGCTTAAAAAGGGCCCTTCAGGCTACACTACATGTCAAAATCGATATACATTTTTATTTTAAAATAAGATACATTTACTTGCAGTTTTGTTTTTCGCTGAATTACTGTCACTTGATTTTTTTTTTCCCCTTTAACCTAAATTTAGTGAGGTTTAGCCTGGAACAAGTGAAACACCTACAAACCAAACAAGACAAAATAATTACAAAACAAAATCTTATTTGTAATATATTTTACTACTCCAAAGAATGCATATTGTTTTAATTATGTTTACATATTTTGTTTAGGAAAACAAGATCGTTGAGTCTCACTAAGAAACAATCAAGGTGATATTTCAGCCCAAACCCATTAATATTTTGAATAAATAAAGCAAAACAATAAAAAA